AAACACATTAAACTCGTGGCGAGTTCAAACTCTATACCTCGGTTTAATATGAGTTGCTGCTGAAGACTGGTCTCATTGCATGGGTGTGAGGCAGGTCTCACAAACAAGGTGCTCCACGCTTAGTCCTTTACTGCTGTCTACCCTCCATGTTGGAAGTGTGTCCCTTTCAAAAGAAACGTCCCCCTACCCTGATCTTCCATTTGCATCTGGGTCATGCTGGGTAAAGCTGTTGACCTATAGTCAGGCCCTAAGACTGACTTTGTTTCTCCACCATGACACTCGTATTCTGGAGCATCCTGTGACCTGTGCAGCTGTCTTTGAGGTTCTCTTCACTTTGGATAGCTTCCTGATTTCTGATGAGAAAAACTTGAAAAAAATTACTGATCCTATTTTGGGATAATGAACTTGCTAAGGAATGTTGTTGATTATAACTTGTTTTTAAATGTACCAATGTGATCTCTCACTGAGCACTGAGAGTTAGAATTTATTTTTCTTTTTATGGTTGAAAATCACTAAAGTTGGAGACAAATACTTCAGTGTGTTCAGTTTTTTCTTCCCACATGTCTAAAGTGGCCTTTAAAAACCACTACTTTATTTTGATCATTAAATGTGCAATATTCACTTCTTATGCATTGTTCAATGTTTTACATGCTTGTACAGAAAATGAGTTTTTATATCATGGTGAGAAACAGGAATAAATAAGAATTGATTAAGTAAAATTCTGCAAATAAACTACATTCAGAGTCAATTTACCCGTGGTGGGCCTGTCTCATTGTTTTTGGCAAGTTTGTTGGCAGATCATCTTTTTATACATACATCACATGAAGAAAAATTTTAAATTAGTTTGTAATGGCTAAGATCTTTACTCTGTGGTGTATACTACAGTGGTGAAGCCTCTAATTTCAAAAAGAATTGGCATGGACCAGAGACTGTCAGAGAGATCAGGAGACCCCTCACAGTCTGTAATGTGGCCTAACCTCTGTAGGAGGTGGGGCTTAAGAGCTGCACTGAGGCTCCCCCTGCCTGAGTGGTGATCTGGTGTGCGGGAGGGAGCTGCCAGTAGAGGGCAGCGCCCCAGGGGTTGCTAAAAGGGTCTGCTCTGAAAATGGGCCTTCAGTATTGGAATCCCAGGGAATTTCTCCTTAATGTTAATTTTCATGGATTTGTAAGACACGCCTAGAATGGGCGGGAGGGGCTGCACATTCCACCGGGGATTATCATCAATTTGGGATTAACCGAGGATGAGACCTTCTGGGTGTGGGTGGGTCTCATGTCCTTCTCTGAGTTGGGCTGCTTTCCAGATAGAACCACAGGGTTTAAGGGTTGGAAAGCAGCTCATGAGCAGACTTGTTTTCATGGGTGCTGTGCTGAGGGAACAGAAGGCTCCAGCCTGTACCCTGTACCCCCTGGGAAGTCCAGTCATGAGAACACCAACTCATCTTGGTCGTTTCTTTCCTTGACTTTGTGGCTCTAAGAGGAGAGTGGAGAGTCCCAACTGCTGACCCAGCCTGTTGCCCAGGTCTCTGGCTTTGCTTGCCAGAGAGGCCTGAGTGTCCTGAGAGGGCTGGAGAGGGGAGTGGGGGGCATGTGCTGTCCCTGAGGGGTGGGGCAGAGCAGCTTCTTTATCAGGAGGCCAAGCAAAGGCTGTTTAGACTGTGTACAGGTTGTTAAAGCTGTCCATGAACCTGCTTCCCATGGCCACGGTGATCTGAAACCACTCCATCAGAGTCCATTCCTGCTTCTTCCACTCAAGAAGTCCTGCTGTCAAGTGAAATCCTGCAGCCAAGGGCACCAGATCATTAGCCAGCTCCCCTGTACTCCGAGATAATAACGTGAGCAATGTCAGGTGCCCCGGAGAGCAAGTGTCCAACTTCTGCTTGCCTAAGAGTCACCTGGAGTCAGCTGGATCCTGGTTATAAATAACAAGGTCAAGTCGACATTTGGAGGACTGTTGGGGAAATCTGAATCTGGACCGTAAGGTGGCATTACTGAATTACTGTTAATTTTCTCAGGCGTGGTAATGGTACAGAGGAGATGGAGGAGAATGCTCTTGTCCTTCAAAGGTGTTTAGGGTAAAGGATTGTGATGTCTGCAGCTAATTTGCAAATGGTCCAGTCAAGCGTACACACACACACACACACACACACACACACACACACACAGAATACACAGAACCCACACAGAATGTGAGTAACGGAAATAGTGATGTGTTCAAGTTTGTTGGTGTATGTTTGAAAATGATAATAAAAGGATGGGGCAAAGCCACTTAAAGAATTTGTTTAAAATGTTAGTTCCTCTGCCCTGAGCTTGTGGTTCAGTATGTCCTGGTGGTGCTTAGACTGGGCATTTGAACAAACTCCCAGGTGTTCCTGATGCAGGTATCCCTTGGAACTCACCAGGGAGACCTTGCTCCAGGCCCAGGGCCCAGCCCAGGACATCCAGGCTCTGAGATGCAATGGTCAGAAAGTGAAAGCAGCCATGGCAAGTAGTACGAGGGGCTCGGTGCCACACTCACCCCCTTGTGTGCCCTGAGTCCCTTCTGCTATTCTCATGTCTTGAGGGGCAGCACCCAACACTCGGTGCCCTACCCCTTCAGCCCTGGCCACATCCTGTCCCTACCCTCTGGCTCTGGCAACTTCCAACTGCGTATACCATGTGGTATCCAATTTCCTGTTTTTGCTCTGGCTGTCCTTTTGTTTATTTTTATTATTTTGTGTGTGTGTGTGTGTGCTGGGGACTGAATCCATGGCTTTGTGCATGCGAGGAGGCAAGCGTTCTACCAACCAAGCTATGTCCCAGCCCCTGTCCCTTTGTTTAGAATGTCCTTTTTTCATACCCCCAACCTCCATTCTTCTATTTACACAGCCAACAAGTTCTGTCCCCAGGTAGATTTTTCCAGAAGGCTTCCCTTGTTTATGTGATCTCACAGCACCCCCTCCCCACCCACACATAATTTTCTTTCTTCTCTTCCTTGTGGTGCTGCGGATGGAACTCAGGGCTTCATGAGCACTAGGCAAGTGCTCTGCCACTGAGTTACGATAAGGTTGTGTTGCTCACTAGCTTGAGAGCTTCTGGAGTCTATCCTGTTCCCAAATGTCCTCCTTCCAAGTTCCACATTGAGTTCTGCTGCCTGGTGCCTTTAGGGTGAACTGGGCAGGTAGTCAGTTCTGGCTAATGAACTGTGATCACCAGTGGGAGGCCCTCCAGGGGGTTCTCTTTGCCTCTGACCCAGCAGTCCTCAACATCAGAGGGGACCTGAGTCCCTGAGTAGCAACACAGGAGCAAAGCCCACCTAGCAGTTCATGGTAAATGCATAGCTTTGGCAAGAAACAAAGCCTTATGTTTCTAGCCACTGTGATTTTAGGGTATGTTACCACAGCACAACCTAGTCCACCTGACTGAGATGCCTTTGTGTCTGTTTGTTTGTTTTAGGTAGTGGGTATTGAGCCCTGGGGCACTTGGCCACTGAGCCACATCCCCAGCCCTTTTTATTTATTTATTTTTATTTTGGGAACAGGGTCTTACTAAGTTGTCCGGAGCTTCACTAAAGTTGCTGAGGCTGGCTTCAAACTTGTGATCCTCCTGCCTCAGCCTCCTGAGCCTCTGACATACAGGTGTCACCACCATACCCACTGCCACCTTCATTTTTAAGGTATCCCTAAATACCTTACCCAATTCGTAGCACGAAACAGATACACAAGAAATAACTCCTGTCAGTTTTCCTTGGTTGTAAAACTGGCTTCAAAGACCAAGAAGATGTTCTAATACACATCTCTCCTTTGTCCTAACTTCTTCCCTGGTGATATAGAACTTTCCATGGAGGTGCCTAAAAGCATCTCTGAGCAACAAGATACAGATGCCAACTCTTGTGACCTCTTACTAGCTAAGAGAGGCTCCTTGGTGGATCCCACATTACCATGAGCTGCTACCACCCACTGACCCTGGTGAAGGCTCTGGTGTAGAGGGAGCCTGGTAACATGCTGCTCTCAACCTTCAACCCATCTCCCTTGCCTGTGGCCCTTCCTCTTGACAGCTTACCTGGATCCCGCTCCTGCTCTCTTAATAGTACCAACAAATTCACACTGTAGTGTAAATAGGGAAGGCAGCACCCTTCCCTCTTCCCCCACAAAAATCATCCAGGCTCAATTGGGGCAGATGGGACAAAATTGCCGTTGCTTTTGGACTTCCCACATCCTAGGAGGAAAAATGCTGTGGAGAGAGGTCAGCACTGTCATGAAGCCAGATTTAGACAGGCATCCATCTGTACAGGTAGGTAAATGGAGTCAGGTCGGATCAAGGAGGCCAATTTGAATGAGTCCCTGAAGTTGGAGACTGTCCCTCTGAAATGCCTTCCTCCACTGTCTCAAGATAACCTGCCCCTGGGCCAACCTGTTGCTAAGGTAACCTGCCCCAGGAAGTGCCCCTCTCTACAGGGAGTTATAAAGTTGTTAGTTAATGTGTCCTGGGCTGCTCCATCCGTCTCTTCCCTTATCCATCTGCTTCTCACCTTTTGACATCCCACAGAGCACCTCTTGGCCTAGTCACCCATAAGCAGGAAGGAGAGAGATGAGGGGAAGAGAGCAGAACAAAGGAAGCCTGGGACATATGAAAAAGGTAAAACCCCTCACTTTGTGGAATACCAGGATACCAGCTATGGCCCCCTTCTCCAACCCAGAGGAGTCTAGGTTACCTCTTTTTCATTAAATCCTGCTTTATGTGTTTGCTTCCGCGTGTTCTCTAATGTCATTCTTCAACATGTGAAGAAGCAGGACTCGTGGATACCAGCAATATCAGTAATTGGGTTTTTGTTTTTGGTTTTCCTTTTATGGTACTGGGAATGGAACCCAGCGCCTTACCATGGTAGGTACGTTGCTCTATCACTGAGCTCTATCCACAGCCCCTTCCTTCCTTCCTTCCTTTCTTTCTTTCTTTCTTTCTTTCTTTCTTTCTTTCTTTCTTTCTTTCTTTCTTTCTTTCTTTCTTTCTTTCTCTTCTTTTTTTTTGCCCTTTACATTTTTCAATTTTATTATTTTATTTTAAAAGAGTTTCACTAGGTTTAGACCTCAAACTTGCTGTCCTGCCTCAGCCTCTGGAGTGGCTGGGGTTCCAAGCACAGGACAATAATGCCTCTTGTAGCTTCTTAATTCATGGGGATCCAGAGTTTTCCTTGGGGCTTCCAGCTTTCAGTCCCTGAGACAAAAGCTTCCAGATGCTTTGAGAGAACGGTCTTTGATTTCCTTTCCTTGGGGTCCCAGCTCGAGATAGCAAGAGGTGGGCAGAGGGTGCAGGACAGTCACAGTGGAGATGGAAGAAGGTAGGACTCCAGGTCTTCCCATGCTACCAGGTTTCCAGAATTTGCTCTTCCTCTGGCCACAGTTTGCACACCCCCATCTTTTGTTTTCTCTTGTGGGCTTTGTTCCCCACAGGGCTGCTGAGAGGGCCACATTCATTCAGGAACTGCACATCCAAAGGCCCACACCTGAGATAGGCTCATACTCTCCAAAGTCCCATCACATCTAGCCCTGTCCTCAGGCAAGCCCCACCTTCTATCTCCCCACCTCCACTTGTGTCACCTCTGTCCACGCAGCCACACGGACTCCTCAGATTCTTCAGATCTTGCTAGACCTACCATTCCGGCGGGGGTGGGGGGATGTGGTTTACCCTGTTAAGCAGTGGATAAGTTGAGACCCAGTGAGTGGAAGAAAGTGCCCTGGTCCACACAGTAGTTTGGTGACAGAGCAGGATGGAGCCTGGGCCTCCAGACCCTATGGTCCGTTTCCTGTCCTAGATAATTAAGGATGAGGGGAGCTGTTCTGGAAGTTTCCTACAGGTTCACATGTACACACACACACACACACACACACACACACACACACACGCTTTCAGAATGCTTGCTCCACTAGAATAAATATCACAAGGGCTCAAAGATGTTCAGTAAAGGCCACCTTGGGGGTCACCTGGTGGGGGCTGCCTGGGAACCAAACCTCATGCTGGCCTTCACTTCGTGTGCAAAATGATGCTGGTGGCCGAGGGGCTCCTCATGGGGAACATGTGGCAGCTGGTGGGCCCTGGGGGTTCATCTGGCTCAAATTTTCATAATTGGATTCTTGAGTCTGGGGCCTGCAGACAGGAGAAAGTGAACTGACCACCCAGTGAGAGGCAACTAGCAGCTAGGATCAGTGTCTACCACCTCCAAGTAATCTCATCAGAGGCTCCACAAACCAGCTCCATGTCCCTCACCTCCAGACCCTGTCTCCAAGTCCCTTCATCTTTTCAGACTTCTGCTGGAGATATCCTGGCAGGTATCTCAAACCTTCAAGGCCTCCCCAGCTACTCCTCTTCCCTATCACCTTGGTAAGAATTCCTGGGCTCAAGCTCCAACCCCGGGTGTCCTGGCTCCCTCTCTCACATGCTGCTACCCCGTCCTCAAGCAAGCCCCACCTTCCATCTCCCCACCTCCACTTGTGACACCTCTGTCCACGCAGCCACACGGCCTCCTCCCTCCTTGTTCAGTTGGGGCCATTCCTGCTGAAACCATTCTCCCAGCCCATCCAGAATAGCACCTCCAGCCCTCCTCCAGCCCCATCTGCCCACTTCACATCCATGCTCTGGCCTCGCTGCCTCCCTGCTGAGTCCCAACTGTGCCTTCTCATCGCCTTTTCCCTCCTCAGATTGCCCCAGCCCCTGCCCTCCTGGCTCCAGCCTCCAGCTTCAGGTTTCCTAAGGGCCACATCCCTAGCCCATGGTCACCCTGTCTCCAAGGGCTCAGCTCCACCACTTCATCCACTTTTCATAACCCCTTTTTTGTAGTCTACCATGATTTGTGTATGTGTTTATTAAAATGCTCCATTATGGAGCGTGAGTTCAGGGATTTTCTCTCTTTAGCTTCCAAGTCAGTGCTTGCTACCTAGGGGGCACTTGGATGTTTGTTAAATGATTAAACAACAGCTGGCTTCCTGATTTAGGGGACTTGGTTCAATAGTACATTAGCAAAAAAAAAAAAGGGGGGGGTTTAATCCGACTCACTTTTGCCTCTTTAATAATAGTCCATCCCATTTTGCTCTTAATAAATAAACCTGGGGATATGTGACAGATCAACACTGCAGGAGATGCTTGAGCATTCAGCTGGAGAGGGGGCTAGACTCATCTGAGGGCCTGGAAGGACTGTACCCTACCCCCGCCAGCATCCAGCACAGGGTACCCAGTATCTAGAACTGTTTTTTTAATATATATATATATACCAGGGACTGAACCCAGGGGCACTTAACCACTGAGCTTTTAAAATATTTTGTTTAAAGATAGGGTCTCACTGAGTTACTTAGGACCTTGCTAAGTTGCTGAGGCTGGCTTTGAACTCGAGATCCTCCTGCCTCAGCCTTCCAAGCCACTGTGATTACAGGCATACACCACTGCAGCCACACTAGAACTCAGTTCTTTCTTCCTTCAACACAGGGCTTCACTTGGGTAGACACCACAGAGGACAGCATGACCTCTGGTCAATGTCTTCCTAGCTGGGATTCCCAGATCCCTCATCTAAGCCAGATCCTAAAACCTCTAATAACTTTTTGTGTGGGAAGCCTTCAGCAGAGGGCCTGAGAGAATAAGTGTCCCTATGGTGGGATTGCCTGTTCCAGAATCCTGGGGGACTATAAGACCAAAAAGCCTGGAGGTGTCACTCCTCAGCACCATGGACAGCAGGCGGGAGGCGGGGCGGCTAGAGGAACAGCTCCCTGATCTATCCAAAGAATGGTGTGCTCTACTGAGGCAGGCTGTGAGGTAGGCCCAGACCCTGGTCGGGGACCCTGGCCCTTCCCTTAGCCTGTTCTTTCTCCTTGTGCTACAGTCTGAGAAGCTGGCACCCCCCTGGCCAGTGGGACCAGGTGGGGTGAAACAGGGGAGGCAATGAGCACACTTACCGCGGAGGGGTGTCCTGGGTGACCGGGTGCTCTGTGTGGGGGAAAGAACAAGGAGTTATAAGTATGCCTGCAGCATCCAGCCTACATGCCTACACCCATCCCCCACTACACCCCACCGTGTAGAATGGTCCCAAGGGACACGTGGCAGACAGCAGAGGAGCAGGGTGTGGGGAGGTGACATGACGCCCTCCACCTGAAAGAGGACCACAAGTAAAGAAGGAAAAGGACAGAGTGAGGGGCTGTTCACCAGAAAGAAAACACGATGACTTTCTAAGCAGCCCCCCCCCCCAAGCATAGGTATGAAATGCTTGGTGACTTTGCAGAACCAGCAAGAATGCCAGGATGGCCACAGCAAGGACAGCAGCCAGGTAACTGTGGCAAATTTTGGATTTCTTTCCCTACATTTGGAGGCTAGTGCTATCAGCCTGGGAGGACTGAGAACCTAGGGACACAACAAGTTTGTCACCCAGCTCAGCAGCAGTGTGGCAGCTCTCTAGAGACCTGCCAGTTCAAGTTGCCAGACTTTTGCACATGCTGTCCCTTCTGCCAGGTGCACATTTTGCTCCTTGCTTTCCGAGGTCATATGTATTTAGATTTTTTGGCTTGGCTCCCACCTCACTTCTTGGGCAAGTCCTTCCCTCCTGGCCACACCAGAATAGAACACCATCCCCTGGCTTCTGCGTTAGTGAGATCTAAGTGATCCCTCTCACAGTGCCCTGCAAAGCTGTGCTGACTCATCAGTCTCCCGTGGGGGGCATCCCAGCCCCATGCACCCCAAAGTTGGCTCTCAGGATGCTTGTAGTAACACAATGGAAGGTGCCTTCTGGGAAAGCCTGCGGCTTAAGCGTTTAAGGTGGTGGTAAAGCGGCGACTCCAGGGACAGACGTAGCTGAATCTCTGTATCAGTGACTCCAGGTAAAAGGCAAGGTACTTAACCTTCCTAGCTGTGAAATCCGACTCGCCCTGGCTCCCACCTCCTGGGCTCCATGCAGGGAGAAGAAAGAGAGCCTAAGCACAGGTGCAAAATGGACGTTCTGGTTGTGTCAAGCCGGCTGGTCAGCAGGCCGATCTCACCTGAGGGGACAGCCCCAGCCCGCCCTCTCGCACCTCCCCGGGTCTTTGGCACACCCACCTAGCCGGCGGCGGGTGGCGAGAGCGGCCAGAACGCCCAGCAGCAGCAGAGCCTTCAGGCCCAGCGCACCCAGCAGGAGCGCGATCGCCGAGGCCCCGGTGGCGCCGCGGAAGCGGAACAAGTAGACGCTGGCCTCCGCGTGGCCCAGGCTGTTGGAGGCCGTACAAGTGTAGCGGCCGTCGTGGGTCAGCGCGGAGAGCTCGGCAGTCACTCGGTATCCGTGACTCTGTCCCGGCACCGCCGCGGAATGGTTGCCCAGGGCCGGGCCGGACCAGGCGAGGGCAGGCGGCGGCTCCCCTTCAGCCGTGCAAAGCGCACGGAAGGCGTGCGCCGGGCTCGGCAGCACCGAGATGTTGACGATTCGTGGTGCGCCTGTGGGGAAGGGAAAAGGGGGACGATGTCACCGATCACGGAGCGGCGGCCCAGGGGAGAGGGAGAAAGCCTAGTGCAGTGACAGAGAAGCGGGCAAGAGACACCCCTCCCTCCTGCGTGCCCTTGGGACGCCAGTACTCTAGGAGTGAGGTGCAGGGACCTCAAGGAGGACATGTGGTCTCCTGGGTGCCAGGATGCCAGGCTCCCAAAACAGCTGTAGCCTTGGACAAACCATTCCATTTCTCTTTGCCTCAGTTTGTCCTTGTGTAAAACGGGGATCGTCAATAGAACCTGCCTCGTGGGGTTGTTGAGATTTAGCAAATCGATACTTGTGGCGTGATTGGACTAAGGCCTGGCCTTGTAGCAAGTGCTCATTAAATGGTCATTCATTATTGTCCTAGCGCAGGGTTGGTGCCACAGTGGAGAGCTACTGATCTAGGGACCAGGACCTGCTTCAGGCATCTTTGTATCTTAATCAGGCGGGGGGGGGGGTCCCTGTGCACCTCTTGTGAGGAGGAATGTGATGTCCTTCAGTGCAAATCATTTCAGCCCTTGTCATAGTGAAGATTATGGTTCTTCCTTTTTCTCTTCCCTTTGTCTGCCAGTTTCTGGGGACACTCACTCTCTGAGTTGCATTACATTGCTTATTCCCGGGGTCCCACCTCAATCCTTTCTGCGAACAAAATTTTGCATTTCTGACAAGTTCCCAGGTCGCCCTTAACCACTAAGTTTTGAGAGCCCCTGGGGTGGATGACCGGGGACAGATCTTGTTGCGTCCCTGTCGCAGCCGCGTGCATGCCGCAGCCGGACTGGGAAGGAGAAAACCATTTGCCCCCGTGTGGCCCTGGCCGCCCGCCAGCCTCACCCGAGACGCGCAGCCAGACCCCGTGGCGGCTCTCATAGCGGTCGTGGACGTCCCCGGAGAACTCGATGCGGCAGAAGTAGCGGCCATTGTCGGCCAGCGCGAGGCGCTCGACGCGCAGCGACAGGTCGTTGTGGCGTGGGTTGCCCAGAAGGCGGAAGCGGCCGTGCAGGCTCAGCGCTGTCTGGCAGAGCTCGCTGCCGCGGGCCGCCGCGCACCGGAACACCTGCGGGCCCGCGTAGGGCTCGCCCGCGCGCCAGATGGCGGTCAGCGGCCCGTCGTAATGGCGGTGCGGGTGCGTGAAGGTGCAGGGCAGCACTGCTGCATCGCCCGCCACTGCGCTCACCTCCGCCGGCACCTGCATGGACCAGCGCTGCGCTGGCGGGCCTGCGGACCGTGGGGAGCGTCAGGGTGGCCTGGGACCCATCCCCAGTCTCCAGAGCATCTCTACCCGCAGGGCCCTGGAACCCCAGGACTCAGGAAGCACCTTCCCCTCCCCCAGGGAACCTGGCACCCCATTTCCTGACTTGAGAGGAATCTCCCCAGCCTGTACTTCCATGACAGGGACCCCCACCCTCTTCCTGGCATCATCTGCCTCATTCGTGGAGGTCTCCACCTCGGCTACAGGCCCAGTGCCTCTGAACTCTCCCTTTAGCTTTTCCCTGACACCTGCTCTGTTGTGGAAGTCCTGGGTTACTACGGAGTTGCAAGATCCCCAAGATGGCGATAAGAGAAAAAGCACTTACTGTGCCCCTCGGTGTGGAGTAAATTCCCCGTAGTATCTCTTTTAGTTCTCACGAGTGATCCTAGAGGTAAGCATGATCATCCCTGTTACATGTTGTTAAACTGAGGCACAGAGAGGTTAACTGAGGTCACACAGCTAAGCAAAGTTGGCATTCACACTTGGGACTTTCTTGCTCCACAATGTGCACTGTAGTTCACTAGAGGCTTGGGAAACATCTGAGAACACCAACACTCCCTGGGAGGTCACTGCAGCCCTTGACAGATTTACCCTTCTGGATTCTCATTCACTCCTTGTCCTCTTTCCTTTGTCTGCTAGTGTTTTGATGGGTTGAGCCAGTGGACAGTATTTCTCTAGAATTCAGGTCAACCCGGTGGATTGTGCCCTGACTGACTTCCCAAAAGGCTAGTCCTCAGGCAGGGAGCAGAGAGGCTGGAGTAGCAGCTGCTCTATTGACTTGTGGCCCTATGCATGTGCTTTTGGACTGTTTTCCCACCTCCCATCTTATGAACACTGAAGAATGTAGAGCTGAGCTCTGTCCCCAGCTGAACCAGGACTGGAGAGTCCCAGGGCTGTGTGTTGAGGATCAGGTCAGGGGTGGTGCCTCCGTTAGGAGGGACGGAGGGAGGGAGGGAGGGAGGATTCTAATCCTGTCCAGCTAGTGCCCTGGGGTGTGGCACACAAAAGGGACCTTTAGAAGGAGTGGTATTGGGCATTGCAGTTTACACAGCTCTTTCACATATACCTTGCGCGTGACCCTCAAAGCACCCAGGGGGAGAAAGGGGAGGAAGATTCTGTTACAGTCACAGAGGTAGCAAGTGGGAGAAACATAGTTTTTCAGACTCCAAACCCAGTGCTCTTTGCTCTTTGATGTAATTTAGCACCACTCACTCCTTGGTCAGGAATTTCCTCAGCCCACTTGTTGCAGACCACCCACCAATGAGTAACCTAGAGGTGAAGACATTCTTCCTGCACAGAACCAACATCTATATTCACCCTCAGGGCCGCCATTGCTGTTTGGAGCATGCACATCTTCCCCTGGGATCTCACCCCAGCCATCCTGTATCCATTGTGACTTCTCTTTTCTGATGGAAAAGTCCCAGTCCTTCACCTACCCCTCAAGGAGTCACCCCTCCTTGAGTACAGTGTCCTGGCCCAGGTGGCTGCCGGGCTGTGCACCTGCACAGTGATGTAAACCCCACAGTGCGGCCTCAGGCTGTGGGAGCTGTGCCTTCAAGAAACCCTGTGGGCTCACACCCACTCACCATCAAGTACAACCACAGTGCTTCTTCACGGAACCTGTTTGGGGGCCTAATCGCTTTCGTTCTGAACTAGGGGAATTATATTTTTTCCTCCACGTGGAGGATTTGACATTGATCCCTAGAAAGAGCTTGTTTGCTTAGTGGTTCATAATCAAAGGGCTGTGCCTGCTGCAGAAAGTGTCTCCCCAGTCTTAAGGCTCTGGCCTGTCTCAGTTCCCTATCAACCGCCCACTCCCTGTGATCTCAGCCTCTTCTGATCTCTTGCATCTTGCAGGCATTGAGGATCCAGGCACAATCCCCTCTGTATTGTTTGCTGAACATTTGTCAGTTCGGGGAACATTTGTCAATTCGGCCAACATTTATTGAATACTTTCCCACTCCATGTCAGGCACTGGAATATGAGCTGTGGTGCCAAAGATGAAAAAGAGACCTTGTCAGCCTGCTGGAGCTCATGGCTCAGAAAAGGAGACAGATCTGTGAGCACGTAATTAATTCCATGAGCCTGCCAGGTGTTCCATGGTGAACCTGAACAATGTTCCTGCTGTCTGAATGTGGTTCCTGGCCCATTATCACTCATCCTCAATTTTTGCTGAGTTGTCCCTGCAGAAGGAGACCTTTCCTGAGCCCAGACCTGGCTCTGGTGTCTTCCCCCTGTGCCTCAGGGCTGGCATGGGCACTTTCTCAGCCTAGACATTGCCTGTGTATGTTTCATGCCTGGCTCTGTGATGCCTGCAAGAAGCTGTGGAAGGGCAGGATCCATGTCCCTGTGGTCTTGTTTGTGTCACTGTGGTCCAGCATGTGGTCCTCCATGCTGAACTGAATTGCTATGACTGAGCAGAAGGGAGGGAGGCCATGGTGGAAGGAGTGGGTGGGGCAGTGGAGAGGGGTATGCAGCTGCTGGGTTGGCAGGGATTGGAGAATCCATGAGAGAGGAGTTGTGTGTTTGCAGAGCTTAGAGAAAGGATGGCATGTCCCTGAGCCTGGGGGTGGCATTCTAGAAAAAGGGAACAGCGAAGCAAAGCTACAAGGCATGGGCATCCTAGGGACACAGAGGTTGCAGGCAGGAGAGGGTAAGGAGGCCAGACAGCTGAAGAGTGGGGGATTATTGGGAGATTTGCTCCTCACTTGTTTAAAATCCACAGCTGCCCCATGAGATGCTATGATCAGCTCCTCTTTAGAGAAGGGGGAACTGGGGCTTTCAGAGCCTGAGTTACTTGGCAAAGTTATTTCACCCACAGGTAGCAGAGCTGTGTCTCACCCCTGGGAAGCTCTGTCCCCTTGTTCACGTTCTTGCCTTAATCCCTGCATCCCGTTACCCAAGGCCTGGTTTGAAAACACTCTGCAATGTGGCAGGCCTGGACCCGCCCTCCTGGCTGGGTTTTGCTCCAGGAGTGGAAGGGGAACACAGAGGCCCTTTCACCACCGGTTCTGACCTTGGCTCCTGGTAGATGTGTGCTTGGTGTTTGCCTGCTCACAGGGTCCAGAGAGGCGGTGCCTGTGCTGTCACTTACACAGAGAACTTTGGATGAGCCTGCCCCAGGGATTCGAAGGGAGGGCGGAAAGGCCCCAGTGGAATTGCCTGGGGAACAGAGGCATTTGCTTTAGCAGGAACCCAAGCCTCCAGCATCTGGTGACATTTACCACTGCCTTGGGCAGCTCATGCCAGCTGCTAAAACAGGGCAGGGGGGATTATTCATTTGGAAACTTATCATAAGGGACCGTATAATCTGTCTGCCTCATGTCTGTCAACCTCCAGGGGTCAACAGGAGACCCACATTCTCCCAGTTGTCTAAAATACTGCCGCTCTGTGGTGGGCCAGAGGGATGGTGGGGATCAGGACAGCTCTGGCACAGCTGGACCTAGGCGACCATCCTCCCTCTGGCCATTCTTTCATCAGACTTTTATCAAACACCTGATCTGTGCCTGGCACTGGGTCTGGGCTCCTTCATGTCCTGGGTAATCACTAGGCAAGTTCCTGAAATCCAGGTTAGGGTCCCTCTGCTACAAAGTGGAGGACATAGCAGCATCCTCAGAGGACGAAGAACTGAATGAAACCACCTGGGTAGATCACCTTCTTTGTCTGACACGGCCAGGGTGTTCGTTCCTTTCCCTCACTGGAGAGTGTGCAAAGGAATGTGAACAGAGTAGGGAAGGGCTGCTAAGCAGAGACGTGCCCAGGTGATGCATGGGGTTCAAAGACTCAATCCCTACCTTGTCCTAGAGCAGCTAGAGTGAACAGCCTGGTCCTCATCCTCTGCTCACCTGCAAACTGGTCATATAGTCAATCAATTATCTACTCCAATACATTTACTGAGAGTTTATTGTCAAATATACTGTGCTGGGTGTCGGGGATACAGCTGCCATGGCAATGCCCTCCTTAGTATGTTAACAGTACTCTCTGCCACTGCTTGTTTTAAATGTATACACAATTCTAACTAGTTTATTTATGTTTCCAGCCCAGGGAAGTAGAAACTGAGAAGCTGGAAGGTGGTTTTGGTTTGTAGGAGGCAAACCAAACCATTGAAGGCAGCAAGACAGGATGTTGCCACTCACTCAGAGAGCAGGGGGGTCAGTCAAAATAATGAAAAGATAGCCTGGGACATAAATGATAAAGTACAGTGTCAAAGGACTGTTGGAGATGAGCCCGAGTCACTATGACACTGCAGAAGGCTACTGAAACTGGTGCATACGTGATGACCTGAGTCACTATGGGAAAGTTTATTGTCACAATATGCCTTGCCTTAGTTGTGTGTCCCTTTGATGGAGTGTCAGGGCTTTGACTGAGGCTCTGGAGCTGTCTTTGGGGACTTAGCTATGTTGCTGTAGCCCTCTGCCTCAGAAGACCCATTCATGCAATGAAGTTTCTAGATGTTTAATAAAGTAACTTTCAAGTCTAAAAATCTGTCTGAAAGCCAAATCTGGATAAAATGACAAGGAAGACATAAAATATTTTAGAAATATGTCTACATAAAATAAAGACTTTTAGGTACTTAAAAATAAGCCACTAGTGGCTGGGCACTAATCCCACCAATTTGGGAGGTTGTGAGGCAGGAGGATCATGAGTTCAAAGCCAGCCTAGGCAACTTAGTGAGGCCCTAAGCAACTCAGTGAGACTCTGTCTCTAAATGAAACACAAAAAAGGGCTGGGAATGTGACTTAGTGTTTACGTGTCCCCAGGTTCAACCTCCAGTACCAAAAAAATAAATAAATACATATAGATGAATGGATACGGCTGGGGATGTGGTTCAGGGGAGGAGCAACTCTGGGTTTGGTTTAGTGAGACTCTGTCTCTAAATAAAAAAAAAAAAAAGGGCTGGGTATGTGGCTCAGTGGTTAAGTGCCCCAGGTTCAACCTCCAGTACCAAATGAATAAATAAATA